GAAGAGAAATATTAAGTATTTTTTAGTTTTTAATTTTTTGAAGAAAAAAGTATCTAATTTTTCCTGTTATTTTTTAACACATAAAAGCCAAATAATCAACTATTTCATAGACCTTTCTGACCTTTCTTTTCTAACTACAAAATTTGCAAATACATTCTATATGATCCACTTTTGGTTCTCCTTCTATATCAAAGTATTTCCAAAAATTAGACTTTTTTCTTCCTGCTTTTTTATTGTTTTTTTCTGATATATTAAGTATATTTAGTATATTAAAAAATGATTCATTATTATCAAAAAATTTGTCTATAATAAAGTCACAATTATAAAAATATTAAAATGCGTAAAAATCTATTATATAGAAATTTGATCATCATTTAATAATACACATGTAATTATTCTAGATAATTTTAGATATTAGCTAGCTAATTTTGCCTTATATTTATTTTATATAATCAAAAAAATAATAAATAATAATTGAAATAGACGAAATTAGAATTTTTTTTTATTTCAGATAGCTTATTTAATTTTATTTTTTTAAAAAAAATATTTTTTATTTAAATTAAAAATCAAAAAAACTTATTTAATTAATTAAATAATCAAAATTTTTTTTAAAAAGAAAATTTTTGTTTAAATCTAGTATTCTAAAATAAAAAAAAGAAATATTAATAAGAATATTTCTAACTAAAAATTGCATACCCTCTATTTGCTTTAAGTCCAGTTTATTCAAGTCCAACATCTTAAAAAATAAAAAAAGAAATGTTAATAAAATGTTTTTAACTAAAATATAGACACCCAACCTTCCTAATTACTCTCATTTACCTCAATTTACCCCAAGTCTGATCTGATATTCTAAAAAATAAAGAAATGTTAGTAATAATTCTAACTAAAAGAAAGACGTTTATTTTATTCTATTTACCTTATTTATCCTAAATCTGGTTTAGTGTCCTAAAAAATAAAGAAAGAAACCTATAAAATAAAGAAAGAAATATTAGTAATTTTTTTTACTAAAAGAAAAATATCTATTTATCCCTATTTACCTTAAGTCTAATCTGACGTCTTAAAAAACAAAAAAAGAAACCTATAAAATAAAGAAAGAAATATTAGTAATATTATTAACTAAAAGAAAAATACCCATTTACCTCTATTTATTCTTATTTACCCTAAATCCAATCCAGCATCCTAAAAATAAAGAAAAAAATCTACAAAATAAAGAAGAAATATTAGTAATATTTTCAATTAAAAGAAAGACACCTATTTATCCCATTTATTTTTAAGTTCAGTCTGGTATCCTAAAAAATAAAAAAAGTAATCTACAAAATGAAAATAGAAATGTTAGTAATGTTTCTAACTAAAAGAAATGTTCATTTACCCCATTTACCTTCAAGTCCAGTCTAGTGTCCTAAAAAATAAAGAAAGAAACCTATAAAATGAAGAAAGAAATATTAGTAACATTTTTAACTAAAAGAATTACTCCCATTTACCTTAAATCCAGTCTGACATTCTAAAAAATAAAGAAAGAAACCTACAAAATGAAGAAAGAAATATTAGAAATATTTTTAACTAAAAAAAGACGCATATTTACCCTCATTTACCCCTATTTACTTCAAATCCAGTCTGGCATCTTAAAAAATAAAAAAAGAAATATTAGTAAAATATTTCTAATTAAAAGAAAGACATTCAAGCCACCCATTCTGATACTCAAGTCTAGCATTCTAAAAAATAAAAAAGAAATGATTAGCATAACGTTTCTAACTAAAAAAAAAGCTATGCAAACCTCTAATTTACCTCAAATTCAAAGATGATTTCAGCCTAATATTTATAACTAAGAAATTGAAGGTTAGTAAGATAAGTAAAACCTATTGATCATAATCAACAAAAAAAAAGAATGCGATATTTAAATTTATTTAGAAATTCTTAAAATATAAAAAAATGCTATTTATAAAATCAAAAATTTTTTAAAGAAAATACATACTGATGGATATCTGAAAGAAATTTTACCTTTATTAATTAGAATATATAGTAAATAAATATTAATTATTAATAATAATATATTGACTTCAAATGAATTTGCAGAAAAATAAAATGAGAGTTTAAAATTATTTTTTTATAATTATATTATTGCAAATTTATTTTAATAAAAATAGCAGAAAAATTTTTAAAATTATATTATAATATAGGCAAAATTAATTTTTTAATTTTTTTAAAAAAAAATAAAAAAACTTTTGTGTAGACTTTTTTTTAATCAATTAAAGGGAACAGATTTTTTTAAAGAGAAGATACTATGGAAGCAGTATTTTTTATTTAAGATGCATAAGCATCAATTTACAGTAGTAGTAGAAAATAATGATAATGTTATATGACTTAATTAATATTGCTTATTAAAAATATGAATAGAGAACTTTATTAGAATATTTTCTTTTTACTAGTGCTACAAGGATTCTTAGAAGAAGATGGATATTCTAACAGAATAATGATCCTAAGTATAAAGCAAAATTAACAACAATTCTTTTTCAAGAAAAATATTTACGAATGCTTAATTGGCTATCCTATTTTTCAGATATCAATCCCATAGAGAACTTATAAGTTATAATGAAAAAAAAGGGTAGAAAAAAGGGTAAATCAACATATAGCATAAAATAATCAGTTGGATTAAATGATTTTTTGTCAATTATTCGATCTGAATAGGAAAATCTTGATTTAGACTCCCTATTGAATTTATGTGCGAGTATGAAAAAATATTTGAAAGACATTATTGAAAAGAAGAATCATATAATTAACTATTAAAATTTTATTTTTATTTACTTGTGATATTATATTATATATTATTAAAATTTTTTATAAATAAATTAAAAATTGATTAAAAAATATATAGCTTAAAAATTATCATTATTTTTTATTACTACTGTAACGTTTTTATAAAATATATTTATCGCAATAAGAGATTCTCAGATATATGAGTTTCATTTTGGTTATTTATATCTATTTTTTTAAAAAGATTTCTTACATTATATAATTAAACTTAAATATTTATTGTTATACTTGCCTGATTATTGGCACCTACTTATATAGAAAAATAAGGGATGAAAAATATTAATTTTTTGAGTGTACTTTGTAATTTTCTTTAAAAATTTATATTTTAAAAAATAATACAAACTTAAAAAATATTTATTAAAAAAAAATTTCTTTATACATGTAGTAAAGATTTTATTTTTAGATATTGTGTCCTAAGTTGTGATTTACCCTAACTTTAAATTAAGACATATTCATTTTACCTAGAACTGAAATTTCAATTTTAGCAGTCCAAATTCAAATTTCAAATTGGAATATCTCGAATTTAAACAGAACTATCTGATTTATTACTATAGTGAAAGTAAGTCTTTTTTTTATGATTATTAATATATATTATATAATTTTTTTAATATTTTAATTTTTTTATTTTTTTTAGATTTGATTGAATGGAATTATTCAATTTGTCATTGCAGTAAAAGTAAGCTTTTTTTATGCTTATTAATATATAGGCGATTTATGACCCCAAATAATATATATATAGGTCAGATAAAAATTTCAAAATTTACTAAGATTAATAAGCAAATTATTTTCAATTCTTCTAAGCAAATTCTTATTATGACTTTAAAATTTTTTACACTACTAAGTAATTGATTTTGTGACTATTATTAATTATAAAAAGATTTCATATTATTTTTCCATCATTTTTTCATCATTTCACCATCATTTCACCATTATTTTGCCATTATTTCACCATCATTTTTCCATCATTTTGCCACCATCATTTCTCTATACTTTCACCATAATTTTGCCTATAATTTTATCATTATTTCGCTATCTTTTACCAATAATTTTGCCACCTTTCACCATCACCTTCACTATTATTTCACTATCATTTTGCCACTTTTTCATCATTATTTCGCCTATAATTTCACTATCACTTTACCTTAAATTCAGATAACACATTATTATATATTGCAATAAATAATTTGTTTATTAATGATTATAAAAATTTTTTTTATTATTTTTTTTACAAAATTTTATTTATGTAAATAATTTATATAATGTATAAAATCACATGATGTGGTGATATTACTTTATTTATTAATTTTTAATTATTACATCATATTAATAATACTATTTTTAATAGTATCATGATTAAAATAATTAAAAATATTTCATATTATTCCTGTTAAAGTTAACGAACTATCACCAATTATTAATCCATTTGATTTAATATGATATATAATATTTTGAGGATAATGATGAGTAAATAATATATAATCTTTTACAGTTTAACTTGCAAAAAGATGAATTGGTAAATATACTTGCAATGAAATATAGGATAAATCTTCAATTTGAGTAATGGTATTGTGACTATAACAATGATTACCATAACTTTTATAATACATTGCAATTACTTTGACAATACAAATTTTTGTTCTATATAGCACAATTACATAGTTATTTTGTTATAATGGAAAATTTTGAGTAATATTTGCTGATTCAATATATATAACTTCAATATATAATAAATAATTAATAAATTATATATTTATAATATATTAAATTTATATTACTTTCACTTGTAACTTTATCAGCTCGTCTCTACTTTGATAATTCATATTGTTGTAAATTAGCAAGATTAGTTATTATTGTTTTCTAACTATCCTTTCATCGTTTCTCACATTATTTTATAAATCATGTTTCAGGATTATAATTATTTATAAGATGTGAAATTATATGACTAGCCTTATTTAGATTAATAGTATTTATTTTTTCGTGACTGATCATATGTGCATGATTTTTTCTCTCAACTGGTCTTGAATTATATGCTTTATGATGACTTTGTAATGCAATCATAGTTAAATAATCTAGTTCTTCTGTTGAAAGAAGATATCTAATAGAAAAATCTTTTTTTAAATTATCAATTTTGTTAATATTTAATAATAATATATTGTTAAAATTCTTTGAAATATAATAATCATACCATGAGTAGGTCGCTCATATGTATTATGAAAGTTTCTTGTAGTATTATTTAAAGTTGAAATAGTTTGTATTTGCTCATCAATATTTTCATTCTCAATGTTTGAAAAATTAAAAATATTATCAATTGTGTTGGTAGTATGCTTAGAGGTTTGATGAATTGCATCAGAAATTCTTTATTAATTTCAAAAAATTCGTTTGAATTACTTTCAAGTTCTGAACTTGACTTGACTCCAGTTGATATTTCTAAATTTGGCTTCTCTATTATTATAAATGGCTGTAATAATAATTGATTTGCATTTAAAGTAGAATTCATATCAAATGCTTTGGTAAGATTCAATGCCAATTTGTGTGAATATTTAATTGTTAAAGTAATATCAGTATCTAATGACCAATCACATAATGTTATTAATTTTGTTGAATTAATATTTCTTATATTATAATCAAAATAATATCTTATTTAAAAAAATTAAAATTAGATAAAAAATTCAATATAAAATATTTTTATAATTATTATTGTCTGCTTACCTTCACGCACAGATTTTTCTTTTTCTAATATAATATTTTTTGTTCTTAATGCTTTGACACATTGAGAAATTTTTAGAACTAGTTGTAATAACTCTAAATAATTAAAATCTGAATTAATTTGACACGCTATACCAAAAAAATGTTTACAAGCTTCTGATCTGTGCATCTATAGCAAAAATGGATAATTTGGGTAATATTCCTAATGTGCTTTTACCAATAAAATCATAAACTCCGCAAGAGAAATAAAAATTGCATAGCTTTGATCTGCTAAAAAATTTTTGCTTATAGAAACAAAGTCAGAATACTTTTCACTTACATTTGTTATATATTCTTTCCAAATTTGTAAAAAGAAAAAAGATGTTATTGACATTTTAATTCTTTCTAATGGAGTTATTTCACGATTTAAATAGCTATCAATAAGTTCACCTAAATGAAAAAATATATTAAATAATGAAAAAATTTATCATTTATAATCAAAATTGGTTTTTTATTTTACCCATAATGAAAAGATATACAAAAAGTTCTTGTGAATCTTTAATATCATGACAATTTTGTAGATTTGTTAAACAAAATATACGATATGCTGCATTATCATCTTAATGATCAAGTTTTACTATATCATGATGATATATTATAGAATTAAAAAGATTTGATAATTTTAATAATTATTCAAATCGTACTGTTGAATTTTCTAAAGTAAGAAGACATATACCAGACATAATTGCATTTTGACTAGTTTTTTTGACATGTTTAGGATCTTGTATACAGATAACAGGTCCTACATTTAGAAAAGCTAAACAGCTAAAATCAATACTAAGTTTTTTATTTTGAAAAGTTAACCGCTCATTTGTTGAATATAATTGAATTGCAACTTAGGCTTTGAATTCAACTATAGCACCATCTGATCTAATTGATAGTATCAGAAGGTTAAGCTGTGATGCTATTTGAGTTAATAATTCTTGATGAAAACTGATTATAGTTGATGCATTATCAGATCCATTATTTACAATTAATGCAATAATTACTGGAGGGAAGTTTAATAATAATATCTAATAATTGGTAAAATAGAATAGTAAATTATTATTGATATAATTAAGAGATTTAGTCATTTGAATAAATAAATTACCTGCAATATATAAGCACGAACATCTTTCGCAATTACTTTTTTTGTTTTAATATCATTAATGATTGGCTGAATATCTTCATATGTATTAATTTTAATTTGTTCAATTAGTAGTGTTGATCTGATGATACAGCCTAAAATAGGATTATAACGAAGAGCAGGCTTTAACTTAATATTATCTAATATAGCAACAATTGGTCTCTAATAATTTAATGTATCAATTAGCCTTTTAAATTTGGTAACATTCTCAAATATAAGAGCAGGATTTGTAAGCGTATCTTTATTGTTAGTCCAGAGTTTATTATTATTTTTTATAATAAAGATATTTTTTAAAAAATTTAATAGATAAAATTAATTAATTAATAAATAAATATATAAAATAAATAAAATATTATATATTTTGAATTATGCATCCTTCTAAATTTTGACAGAAAAGATCAAGAGTTCGAGTATTAAAACTTCTCAATATAATAAGAAAATTTGTAAAATCTTCATTATATTGAATATTTTGTTTGCCTTTATTATTATCTTTACGAATTGCAGTTTAAACTATTATTTCATTAAGTCCTGTAAATACAGGTTTTTCTTTAAATACGCCATTATTTGCTTTATCTGCTAATGTAATCCATATATTTGTATCATAATCATCTTTAATAACAGACCAAATTTCACAAAGATTCTGATTTTGCAAATGTTTTTTAAAGTATTATTTTTAAAATAATATTTTGACATAAATTTAAGATTTTTAGGTGCAGGTTTTAGTATAGTAAGATGATGATTTAATATAGAATTATATTTTAATGTTAAGTATTCATCACAAATTGTTTTTTCTGATTCAGAATATCCTATGCATTCTTTAGCATGTACAGCAACACCTGTTAATAATATTTGGAAAAGATTTTCATTAATGATCGTTAAAGATAAAAAAATATATTAAATATATTGTAAATACTTACAATCTTTATCAACACGCCATTGAGATTCTGCATAAATTTTCTGATTTAATGCACGTTTTTGAAATAGTTTAAGTCTTTTTCTTGTAAATTTATGAGAAAATTTCTTAGGATACATTTCTTTAGCAATTACTTCAACACGATGAGCTCCACCATAACTTGTTGATGTTCTATCAACATATTTTGCAATCAAATCTGAATATAATCCTAAACATGATTTTTTTTCTACCTGTTTGATTAGTTTCTGAACTAATAATCTCTATATTAATTCCTTCTCCATTAATTTCTTCATTATTTTCGTTTACTGTAATAATATCATCATCATTTATTGTATCTTCTACTTCACTTTTCCAATCATTCCAATCATCATCTGAATTTATATTATCCTTATCATTGGCTTCTTTATTAGTTGTTATTGAATTAAAAAAACACAAAATACTTTATTGTTTTTTTCAGTTGCATTCTGGGCCATTTGCATGCCGGTTAATATAATCCTTATCATATTTTCTGTTAAGTTTTATTGCAGCTCCACATATGCAAATTACCTTTTTAACATGTACAACTTTAGTAACAAATGGATTTTGTTGTAATCGTTATTTTGAGTATTTCTAATCAGCCATAATATGCAAAATAATGTAAGATTGTAAGATAAGATAATATATAAAGATAACGATAATGAAATAATAACTAGAGTTTCAAATGATTTTGACTTTTTATATATTATTTTATTAAATCAAAAATCATAAAAAAAAAATAATACAAAATTATTTATTTAAAAAAAAACAAAAATAAAGAATTTTTAATACAGTTTTCCACTAAAAATTTAACTTATTTTAGTAAAAAAATTTGATTGATATCTATATACACTAATTATGTAAATCAGAGGTAAGACTTAATATTTATATTAATCATGCATGTTAATCATGTTAATCAATCTATACAAAAAATCAAAAGTAAGACTTGCTTATATAACATTAGATCGATTTGTTAAATTTAGACCTAAATTTATTTGGCTAGGCATTTAATTAATTAATCTATACATTTTTTTTTTTTATGAACTGCCGTGATATCGGTAAGGGCGTTTAGATTACTAATTATTTTTTTTTTAGAATTTCAGACTACTGCGATATCAGTTTTATAAGGACATTTAGAGATTACTAATTATTTTTTTTTTAGAATTGGACGTTAGTAATTCTCAAAAGAAACTTACCATTCTAAGAAGGAATTCAACTTACTAATTGATTTCCAAGGTCCAAAGAAGGCTGATTCTAAAAAAAGAGAAGGAAAAAGAATATTAGTAATGTTTTCAAAGAAGCCCACCTAACCCAAGAAGAAGGAAATTCACTCACTAGTAAATTCTCAAGATTCAAAGAAGGCCGGTCCTAAAAAAAAGAAGTAAAAAAAGAATGTTAGTAACATTCTCAAAGAAGCCCACCCAATTCAAAAAGAAGGGAACTCACTTACCGGTAATTCCTAAGATCTAAAGAAGGCTAATCCTAAAAAAGAAAAGAAAAAGAATGTTAGTAATATTCTCAAAGAAGCCCACCCAACCTAAGAAGAAGAGAACTCACTTACCAGTAATTCTTAAGATCTAAAAAAGGCCAGTCTTAAAAAAGAGAAGGAAAGAGAACGTTAATAATGTTCTTAAAGAAGCCCACCCAATCCAAGAAGAGAGAACTCACTTACCGGTAATTCTCATGATCCAAAGAAGACCAGTCCTAAAAAAGAGAAGGAAAAGAATGTTAATAATATTTTTAAAGAAGCCCATCTAACCCAAGAAGAAGGGAACTCACTTACTGGTAATTCTCAAAATCCAAAGAAGGCCAGTCCTAAAAAAGAGAAGAAAAGAGAACATTAGTAATGTTCTCAAAGAAGCCTACCCAACCTAAGAAGAAGGAAACTCACTTACCGGTAATTCTCAAAATCCAAAGAAGACCAGTCCTAAAAAAGAAAAGGAAAGAGAACATTAGTAACATTCTCAAAGAAGCCCACCCAACCCAAGAAGAAGGAAACTCACTTACTGGTAATTCCCATGATTCAAAGAAGACCATCCTAAAAAAGAGAAGGAAAAGAACGTTATTAACATTTCAAAGAAGCTCACCCTAACCAAAAAGGAATTAAATTCACTTACCGGTAAGTTTTTCTAAAAAATATAAAATAAAATAAAAAAAAAAATTAATAAAATAAAAGAAAAAAATTAATATAAATTATAAAATAAATAAAAAAAAAAATTAATAAAATAAAATAAAACTTGAAAAAATAAAAAAAAATAAAATAAAATAAACGAAAAAAAAATAATAGGAAAATATATCTTAACTGGATTAATTGCCGAGGTACTCTTCGTTTCTGCAAAGATTTTTGGCAAAACTGTCTTCAGTCTAGAATGTCAAATGATATGCTGTAATCAATTACAAAATTAGGTTCAACCAAAGGTTACGAAGTCAAAATATAAAAAAAAAATCAATTGATGAAAGGAAAGAAGAAAAGAGAAAAAAAAAAAGGAAAATAAATTGATCGATTTAAGACAAACCGGTTTGTTCATCCTTAAAAAGTAAAATTTGCTTACATAACTTCAGATCAATCTATTAAATAATTAATTTATACTTTCTTTAGATGACTAATTATTTTTTTTTTTTAGAATTTCAGGCTGTTACGGTATCAGTTCAGTAAGGGCGTTTAGAGATTACTAATTATTTTTTTTCTAGAATTTCAGGCTACCCAATATCAGTTCAGTAAGGGTATTTAGAGATTACTAATTTTTTTTTTTTAGAATTTTGAGTTGCTGCAATATTGGTAAGGGCGTTTAGAGATTAATAATTATTTTTTTTTAGAATTTTAGGCTGCCGCAATATCAGTTTGGTAAGGCATTTATAAATTATTATACTAAAATAGTAAAATCAATTTTTTCAAAAATTTTATTTAAATTTATAATTTATTTGAATAGAATCCAAAATATATAAATAATCTTTTTATGGTTTTGGGGCCAGATTATTTCTCTTATGCAAGTTTTTTTATATAAATAAGTGTAATTTTCAGTGAGATAAAGCTGAATTTTGTATTTATTTATTTTTTTTTTTCTTAATACAATTTATAGTGAGATAAAGCTATAAATTTGTATTTTTTTTTTTTTAAAGCAATTTTTTTTTAGAAATCAACATTATGACTACTCAATTAATTGAAATAAAAAAAATAAATCTTCTTTAATTTTAATGAAAACAAGAGTAATTTCAAATCATTTATACCTTTTAACAGATCCTTTACTTAATAAACGAATGAAAATAATATCATCATGTAATAATGGTAATTTAAGTGAGCTTTTTACTTCTATTTTGTCTCTGCTTCTACCTCTGTCTCTACAAACTCTACTTCTATCTTTACACCTATTTCTATCTTTACATCTGTTATTACAGATAAAAATAATCAAAAAACAATAAAAAAATATGAACAAAAAATTAAAGAATTAGATATTGGATTTGTAATTCCTTTAAATGTTGAAAATAATATAAAAGGATTACAAAATTTAATTTCAAAATATAATGATAATATTAAAAAATATCTTATAAATAATTATTTTAAGATAAATAATAACACTAAAAATTGTTTTATTTATCAATTTATAAATAATGAATTATATATGTTAAGGCGACACCAAATTGATTTTCTGTTTTATATTGCATCTTGGTCAATCATGATGAGGGGGGGAGGGGATACAAAAAAAAACATTTGAAAAAAAATCACATGTTTTATTAAAAGTTATGCAAAATATAATAACTAATGTTTATTTGACAGATGTTTTTTGACGTTTATTTAACTTTGCATTTACTTTGTTTTCCATACGACTAAAAAAGGTTTTTTCTGCCAATTGACACCCTTCACACATAGGATATACTAATTTAAATCTATCCTTCAATTCTTGAGGAATATTAATTAAACTTCTATCTTAACTACAATAGTAACAAATTGATATATTGTCACTTTTTCTTGAAGAATAATATAACCATTCAATTGGAAAATCATATGAAATATGAATACGAACCCAGATTTTAGTTGCTAATGGATGTTCTTCTGGAAAGAATAGATCACCATAAGAATAATCAAATGATTCTTTAGCTATTTTAAGAGCTTCAGTTTCTTCTAAAGTTAACTGTGTATCTGAATACAAATAGCGTATTTTTGAACATGAATGACATTTGATATAATCACGAATTTTTGTAACTACTAAAATAGAGGTAGGTGCCACTTTCGAATTCAATGTAGATTGAATTAAAGATGGTCTATACTTTTCAGTAGTAGATTTTCCATAAAGAGTTGTAAAACTTTCATAATGATCAGGATTATCTATAAAAGTATTGATTAATATACTATAATATTAATTAAATTAAATTAATTATATTTAGATACATACTTTGTGAAGGTACTGGATCAGGCAAAAAATTTAACATTGCAAAAATATTATCTGGCATTCAGTTAAGCTTACAAAATTGACAAGTTATTTTTCCACATTTTTTAATCTAATAAAAAAGTTAAAAATTAAATTAATTTTACAATCGTAATATAATTATAAAAATATAAATTATAATTGCCTGAAATGAATATACTCTTTCTTGACAATGAGTTTCAATAAAAGTAACTAGATCATGATATTTCCTTAATTTGAGTAGTTTCACATTTATTCAATGTTGAATCTATTATATTCATATTCTTTTAAAAAAAATATATATGTATATATTAATAAATTAAATAAAAAAAACATAAAATAAAAATATATAATACCTCAAATAATAGATTAATTTGTTCTTCTGTTGCTGGATTATAAGTTTTAAATGAAACTTGATTTAAAACAAGTTTTTCAGTATGTTCACGTAACATTTTTTGAATATTTTTTATACATGATACTAAGTCCTCACGTAAATTTGTATTTTGAGCTGCTTTATTTCTAATCTCTTCTAATGTATCAGCTTTATCAAACAAAATCTCAGATTCTGAACTTAATGGATCACGAATAATAGCAACACCTTGAAGAGCAATATTTAGAATGCTCATAATCCTTTCAGCTGGATTGGTCCAACTATGATGAGACGCAGTGCGTACAGCCATAAGTATATCAAAATCACCTGCCAAAAATAATGCTATTAAAGAAATTTGTACTGATCCAAATGTACACCGATGATCAGGACCACCATCAGTATATAAACATAATATTGGTGATATAGATTGATTCAGATAATTAGATTGTATTACTTGAAGAAATTCAGTAGAATGTCGTAAAGCACTATTTGGTTGAAATATAGTATCTTTATAACTAACATAAACACTTCCATCATAAAATGATTCTGAAATAGTTTTAGGTATATTAATGAAAAAAATTACTGATGGAGTTAATGATAGTTTTGTAAAATCATGATCTCCTGCAGATAATAAAATTTCTTAATGAATTAAAAATTTTCGATTTCGTACACCAGTAGATACAGCAATTCCTTCACCAATTGGAATTTTATGTTTATCATCTGCTGAGATAAAACATGTATAATCACGATAACGAATTTCAAATTCGCGTTCATATTTCCAAATAGCTTGACAATAGTGTTCATCCTTATTAGGCTTTCGAATTAAACATGTTTGAACTTTATAACTAACTTTGAACTGACCAGTATATTGATTAGCTGAGTTAATATAAGGATTTGAAGGTGAAAAATTTATACGTATCCATTCTTCACAAGGAATACAAATTTCAGATGGCAGATCCTGATAATGTTGATTAAGTCGTATAATAATTGTTTCACAGAGATCCTGAAGAGATAAAGCTAATGGCATATGTAAAATATTTTTATGTCGTCGATCATCTACTGCAAGTACAAGCTAAATAAAAAAAAAATATTACTCATTGTTTTAGAATTTTTAATTTAAAAAATAAATCAATGTAAATCTTACTTCATTAAAATAAGATTGTAATTCATTCCAAAATAAATCAAATTTTATTTCACGAAATCCATTATTAATTCGTAAATCAACAATAATGGATGGATCTTCCATTGCTAACATAAATTTCAACTGTTCTTCAAGATCTTTACTTATATTATCAGTTGTAAGTGAAGCATCTCCAGTAAGATCTTGAAATAACATTCTTAAAACAACTTTAGAAATATTGCGAACTAATGAATACTAAATAAATAATAAAAGATTTTAATTAATATTAATATAGTTTTTAAATAAATTAAATATTTAATTAAATTTAAAAAAGGAGTTGTATGTTTTAAGTTTTAATTTGTATATTTGTTTGATAATAAAAAAAACTCACTTTATTAATAACATTTTATTTCATTTGTCGAGTATAATATTTAGGAATATTATCTTGAATTTTTGTTAATATTCTGGCTTTAAGAGTTTAATTATACTCATCCTTATCACAATGCCAAACAAAATTAAGAGTTCCTAAATAATTTCTATGATTATATCTACGATTATATTAAGATAATTATATTAAAAAAAATTTTATTATATCATTTTTTAAATAAATCGATCACATTTAATATTTTAATTAAATTCAATTATACCTATATAATCCAATATGTAAAGGAAGTTGTAAATTTTTTATGTAATAAAATTTTTTTAATGGATCCTGTGGTGCAAATGAATTAAGTTCAACATATTTATACGAAAGGGTAGTAAGAAGTTTTTGATATAAAGGTTCATATATTTCTTTAAATTCTTTAACAAAACAAGAACCAATGCTATACATTTCACAATTTTCTGAAGGTATTCTTGCTGGCATATCAGTTTGATGCAACAGTTTCATATTATTATTGGTTTTTTGTAAATGGTCATAATACTTGCGTAACATTATAGGTAACTCAAGAATTTCTGATGTTACATCTTTCCATACATTATTAATAGCCCAAGGTTTCTCAAGTGAAAGTTCAATTGAATAAGCAAGATGCAAAAGCTTATCCTGAATAAGAGAAGTTATTTTGTGATGAGATGTATTATAAAATTTGTTGAAAACATCATTGTTTTGGTAAGTTGGCAAGTCACAAAAGATTTTAGGTAAATGGCATTCTCGAAGACGTAATTTATTTAGATATGGGTCAATGTATCAAATTGCTTTTGTTAAACGCATAACAAAACTTTGGCCATTAGTTTGATGAGTACCGCGAATCCATCCTACTTTTTACTCTCCATAAGTAAAATAATTTCATTATAAAGTAAATCCAAACATGTCTTTTCTTCTTTTCAAATAGGAAGTTTGACTTCAGTGATCATAAGTTTTTCAAAGGCGTTTGGTAAATTTGGTGGAGGTGGTGTTTGTGAGTAAGTTGTTTCTTCAGAAACAATCGTAAATTTCACTTGAGAGAATTTAAGTGACTTCATTAATATTATCCGACCATCTAACCCTTCTTCTACAGGTTTCCATTAGTCTTTATCATTGGCATGAACTGATACTTGAACTACCTTTCCTATATATGTACCTGAAGTAACAATATCAAATACTTCAGAAAAAAAACCTTTTTCATCTACTTCTTTAATTTTTGACTGAGCCAAACTTTTGAGACCTTCATATACTTGGAATATAATGAAAATCATAATATCAAAAACTTAAAGAAAGTGGAA